CCTGTCAAGACGAACAAGTGCTGCTTTAGAGGCTTTTCTCGTTGCACTGACGATTGGACTACTAACGCCACTTTTGCTGCAATACATGGAGATCCCGACCTGCGACGTTCCTGTCCTTTATTTGTCGCCTCTGCTGGTCTACCTTCCCGGATCACAACTGACTTACGGAGCATACGAGGTACAATTCGGCACCATCATAAATGGAGCAAGTCAGCTGGCATCTTGCATCGTTCGGTGTATGTTTTTGGCCATTGCACTTCTAGTTGGTTGGCAGTTCTTTGGCCATGAGGCAAATCAAGCAAAGACCGGCCACGCCCCAATTTCGGTTGCAGCTGCATCGCTGGTGCCTGCAGATATGTCATGCCAATTTCCATACTCTTGGGAGATTGTGTTTCTAGGATGGAACATTCCTTTGCTTTTTCTAGCCTTCATAGGACTGAATATTCCAATCTCGCAGATGTTGCTTCCCGGATTGGCCGCTTACGTCAGCCTGCTGCTCTACATGGCACTCCAACAGCTGCCACAACTCAAGGGGCTACCTGCCAGAATAATTGACTGTCTCGTTCTCTTCGTGGCAGCCAACTTATCTCTCTTACGGGAGTACTTGACCGGCGCTCCCGCTGTTCTGACGATAATTCCGGTCACGCTCATCTTGGCCCCCGGGTCACACGTTGTCCTTTCAATTCTGGCATCGGTGCAGACCTCGGAGAAGGTGCCAGAGGTTGTTGTTGAGCCAATTCTTGGATTGGTTCTGCAAGGCACTGCTTACGCAGCTGGCCTGACACTCGCAAATCATTTATGGAGGCCGTTGATCAGGAGAAAGCTTGCGCGACAATGTACCCCAGCTGTGCACACCTACTGATGGCAGCTGGCATGCTTTCAGATCTCTCAGAGCTTATTCAGGGTATCTGTCCGACCGTCATGTAATGCAATGCATCAAGATGTATCAAAAAGAAGTTGCCTCCCCGTTGCATGATTCGCTCGGACCGCTGCGGTGCTTGCCTTTGTTGCAGCCGCTCTTGTAAGATACCATGAGTTTAGGTCTGCAGCAACGCTGAGTGCTGTACGCCTTCAGATGCAGGAGACCCGAGTCCCGTTCCGGTGTCATTTTGTGTCCTTGAGTGTTCTCGACAGGAAGTAGGCCATGCGAGGGATCTGTTGGCTGCTGAAGTGGCGGAGACGAGGCGAAGGTTCCCAGATTTGAGCTCAACAGCGGATGGTGTCCGCAGGCTGTCTCTGCAGTCCGAGCATCATCGGGCGGAGGCTGAGAACACCAACTGACCTTTAGACTTTAGAGACTCTGGGGGATTCGATGCTGCAGGCCCAAAGGTCCGAAGCCGCTGCGTTGTTACAGCAGGCATGCACAATCACTCATAGAAGCAGAGCACCTGCAAATGTGACTCATGCCCCTCAGGTTGAGACAAGGAACACGGCCCTGCAAGACCAAGTCAATGATCTGCAAACTGCCGTCAACCAGCTGTCCAAAGAGGCACTTGCAGTCTCTGCATTCGAGCTGGTCACCAGGAGCGAGTTCGTCCGAAGCCCGAGGCTTCACGAGAGCGTGAGGTGCTTGAGGCAGACAGGCAACGCTTGCAGGCCTGGGGCCTGGCTTCTTTGGTTTCCGAGACATGCTTTGCCTTGGTCTCATAGGAGATGCTGGTCAAGGAGGCTCAGCAGGCCAAGGAGCTTCGAAGCGTCCACTTCTCTCAGAGTCCTCTCTGCTCGAAGAAAAGCCTCAAGTCGGTCAGCAATGACAGGCTCTGCTTGCCAAACTTCCGGCTAACGCTAGGATTAATGACCTGTTAGCCTGAATCGTCAAGCTGGCCGATTCTTGGGCCATCTTGCGCTGAGGTCGCATCAGATCAAACGTGAACAGGCGCTGAAGTCCGTTGGGTTCGAGCAATGCCCCGATTGGACAAGGTCCACAGCCTTTTCCGGCTCACACGCGAAACCAAAGCACACGAACCATGTCCTAACCTCGCACAAGTTACGACTCGAGGAGGTGGTCAGCAAATGGTAGGATCAGCAGGAAGGGACTAGTCTCGTGTAGTCCATGCCAGCATGTATCCCACTTCTCTCCATCATGAAATTTCAGAGCACCCTGCACACTCTGATGTGAAGGCTGTAACGCCTTGTGCAATGCCACCTGCAGGAGAGCCAGGAGCAGTACGATCGATGGAGAGAGTCGCATGCCCGACTCCCAAAAACAGAGAGAGAGAGAGAGAGAGAGAGGACCTGCCCACAGCCCTGGCGAATAGAGAGAGAGAGAGACTAATAATCCTCCTTGCACCTTTACGAGAGTATGTACTGTTGACAGTCATCCCTCCACTGCATGGGGGCTCTACAAAACAGGGGGAAGCCCACCTTACTAGGGTTGCCATAGGGGCCCGGAGATGAGGCCGGGATGCGCGTTGGGGGTCCTAGTGTTCGGGGGATTGGGGCTCCCTGTTTGCCGAACAGAGCACCTTGTGTCTCCTCGTACAGCGGTCATTGAGACCCCAAAGCCGCCCACTCATTAACAATTGAGTGGATGGGCGGGCTGAACGCCTGAGGGTCGGGTACGCTGACCCGTAAGCCCTGCAGAAAGAAAGAAAGAAAGAGACTAATAATGTTGGGTGGGCATGATGCCCGGGGGATTTGACCGTCCCCCATGC